ACAGGAGCAGCCCACCTCTCCACCCTGCCCCACTCCTAAGACTCTAGGCCAACCCCGCACCCCCCACTGGGAAGCAGGTGGGTGGGTGCCAGAAACCCCATAAGTTCTACTGTCAACCCATCCAGCTGCTCTTGTAGTCTGTGCCTTGGCCCCCACCCCTAAGACACTCTTGACCTCACAGAGCAGACACGTACATCACAATGCCCCTCCCTCCCTTATCCCTGCCCCACCAGTCCCCAAGAAGTGGCTGCACGCCCAGGGGCCCAGGACCCCCATCGAGCACCCAACCGGCTCACTTGTGGCTAGTCTGCCTGATCTCTGGGGGCAGGGCCCAGATCCAGTGGGTGGAGCCAGGGTGACTCAGCGGCTTCCCCAGCCCTGGCACCCTATTCTGGGCACCACGCCCAGGGCTTGAGGACTGAGCAGAGGCGGAGGCCTCAAGAGCTTCCAGGACTGGGGGGTGGGGACACAGAAAACAAACCATTTCCAAGGCAAGCCACCAGAAACCCAAAACCAAACTTAGATGTTATGGACAGAAAACCCAGGTCTCTCAAGAATTTCCCTCCCAGATACTTCAATCTTCTAGTGAGCTTCTTCTATACTGAAATCTTAGTACCTTACGAAAATCCTGAGCATTTCACACATCCCCATTCTCTGCCTACTCTCAGGTGAAGCTCTCCCTCAACTTCCTGCTCCGTGACCCACAATGTGCCTGACCCTGATCCTTGCTTTCCCAGATGTCCTACAACCCCTTGCTGCGCTACTCACCGTCTTCCGCTCCCTCTTGGGAGCAATCTGGGGTGGCTGGTTCATCAAAACAGGTGGGGGAGCCACACCAGTGGGAAACTGCTGCACACCCTGGGCTGGGTAGTAAGCGCCAGCTTGGGGGAGGCGGGGTGGGGGACAAGGAAAGGAAGAATAGTGGCAGGGTCAGGGCCCAACCACATACAATTGCCTGCTTGAGCACAAATGCCTCCCAGCCCCTGGAGAACCTCTCATCACCCATAGCCGGCCCCTTACCCTGCCCCACCCTCCTCCCCAAGGGAATTAGGTGTCTGTCAAAGCTGGGGAACCAGTCTGAACTGCGTTTACAAGAATTCCTAACACTGACACACACACCCCTTGTAGGCAGGCACTCCTTCCCCACCACACACCAGCTACTATGTCTGTTCCTCTTCTACCCCATAAGGTAACATGGATGCATCCCACCCCCAGCAAAACACACACATGTACTCTGAGAGAGCAGCAACTACTTAACCTGAAACAGAATCAGGTCTTTGGCTGCAAATGATAAAAACAGATTTGCCAACCCTGTTCCATTCAACCTGAGTCCAATTCCAGTCTCCAGCCCTCTGGTAAGGGGCAAGGAAACAAAAAGTAACATTATGAACCAGGCCCAGGATGAGGAAAATTCCTTAAAGCAATGGTCTCCAAAATGGGATACATTCTTTAATATCATCCCATAACCTCCACTTGTTTTTGACAAGCAACATTAAGTGTTATTTGTTTAAATTATGCATATGTATAACAAACAAAAACATACATGTATTAGAAGTACATACTCAAAATTTTTCCTGATGGTCAAAAAATTTTGGAAACCACTGCCATAAAGAACAGACTAATCCTTTCCTAGAATATAAATGAAAAACAGCTACAGAAACCTCCCAAATCCATGTTACATGGGCTCCCCCCAACCATGGAACAAGTGTCAGGGAATATTTACTGACAGGTCCTCAAACTAGCAACTGAACTATATCCCTTGACATAGGGAGGACTCTACAACTCTCAACAATAGTGTAAAATCCTCTCCCCACCACCCCCCAACGCCAGTTACAAATTAAGCACCAATCCCGACTACTGCTTATCATTTTTAGAGCAAGAGACAGGCCTGGGAAGGGTCCTAGAAATTAGGCAAGTTTAAATGCTCCCTGGGACTCACTCTCCCTGACTCCAGACCCCGCTTACCGTAGGTCCCAAACTCTGTAGGGCTTGCACCTGGGTAGAAGCTTGGGGCTCCCGGCTGCACAGAATACTGCTGTGTCGGGACAACATATGTGGAACGGCCCTGGTGGAGGGGAAGGGGGATAAGGAAGGGAGAGGAGTTGAGGGAGCTACGAATACCGCATCAGACTACAAAGAGAATGCAGGGCAAGACAGGACAAGCCAACTCTGGGCAATGACCAGAAGAAAGTCCCAACTCTAGAGCAGAGATGGGACTAGAGGATCAGGGTAGGGGAGGTGGGGGAGCGCGGGGACAAGGTTGTGTGGCTTCAGCACCCAAGCCTCCAGCCTCACCTGTCCAGGGATGTAGTAGGCCCCCTGGGAGGCTGGGTAGGAGATCTGGGAAGGGATCATCATTACTTGGGATCCAGCAGGGTAGACATGGGCAGCTGGGCCAGGGCGGGCAGGGGCTGCACTCTGCACTCGGGAGGCTGCACTGCTCGGGGGCTGGGCCCGGCTAGGGTAGAAGTGCTGTCAGGAGGGAGGAAGGCAGTTGGCACTGGGCAGGGGAGGAAATGGACAGCAAAATGGCCATTCCACTATGTCTCTAGTCTGGAGAGAAGTACCGGGAGCTTTGGAGCATGGGACCAACACTGCCAAGACTCACTTGACCAACTGATGGTAAAGCGGCCTCTTGTATTCATGTGTGCCCTCCAAACTCAGGTACACACTTTGCACTTGGTGTATTTACTCCCTCCCTGCCATGCATACTCATGTCACCTCCTCCACGCTATCCTTCGGCAGAGGCTTCCTAATACCCAGATGCATCATGCCTAAGTAAAGCCTTTTTCAGCAGCATACTCCCCAGCATGCACTGCACCATCCTAAGGTACTGAGGAGCTAACCGCTAACATGCAAGTTTCCCAGGTCCCAGATACGCACTATGCAAGATTTAGCCCCTAACATGCACTGGTCAGCCTCAGACTGAGGACCTGGACAGCCAACAAGTCCCACCCTGAGGAACCCCAGTCCCTGTGTCTAGCCCCTGACTAGGGAGGAGGGTAAGGGTGAGGCCAAGAGAGAGTCCAGGATTAGCAAAGGGGTATTACCTGCAGAGACCTGAATCCTCCCTGAGAGCACATGGGGACAGGAAAGAAGAGAATTATCCCCAAGGTGATGAGGGGGAGAAAAATGAAGGAGGCAGGACAAGAATCCGCTCCCATTTAGTGAGGAAGAATTTAGGGAATAGAGAAAGGTAAGAACCAGCTGGAATGTTTCTCTTCCCACAGTCCAAAGAAAAAGAAGGGATGAGGAATGGAGCAATGGTGACCTCCCAGTAAAAGGAGGAAATAGGAAAGGAGTTGGCAGCAAGGCCCAAAGCACTGCCCCCAGTTCTCAAGGCACCAGAACCCCTAGTAATGCCATCCCCACCAACAACATACTCCCCGAGGGGCCAGCCATCGTGAGTAATCAACAGTGCAAAGTGCAGAACCGCATGAAAGAACACATAGCAACTGTCAGGAAACTGGGGCAGGTACAGGGCCTCCAGAGTTTCCATCCTAGGCCCAAAGTGGCCTAAGCTTTACATGGCTCCCACCCAGGCCCCCTACTCCCCTCCCCACAGCCCCTCACCTGGCGGGGCTGAGAAGGCGTGTTCATTTGTGTCGCTTGAGGCGTACTGAACACCACCGGTGCTGTCTGCCCCGGGGGAAACGCTGGCTGAAGGGGGGAGACCAGATTTCAGCAAGAGGGGAAACCCAGGTGGTGCAGAAACTCAAGCTGGTGAAGGGGAGCAGATTTGTGGCAAGAGCCTCAACAGTCCACAAATACCCTCCCAATGACAGCCCCTGGGAACAGCCTGGGGGCCCTGTCTCAATTTGGCAGCAAAAGGCTGCACTTTGCCCTGACAGAGAAGGGGGTGGGAAAATCCAGAGGTTGGAACCTGTTCCTGACCCGGCTGCCTGGTCTCCCCAACCCCCACCCCAGTCCCTGTTAATTCCTCCCTAATTACCTGTGGGAGTCCAGGGGATGGGGCAGGTGGGGGGCCTGTGGGCTGTGGAGCTTTGTTCATTTCATTTGGTGCCACATCAGGGTCCCCCCAGCACCTGTTGGGAAAGAGTGGCGCTCAGAAAAGGAAATGGACACAAACTTAAGGCAAATGGAGTGGGGGAGGGGTTCAAGCAAGGGCTGGGTCCCACAATGAGCCCCGGAGGCGCCAAGGGGGTAAAGGAACATTAAAGATCCAGCTTATGTCCCCACCAACACCCTGTCAAACCCTCACCACCTCCAACCACCCCCCGATCTGCTGAAACAGCCCTTCACTCACCCCCTCGGTTAAGAACAAATCCACGGTGCGGCCTACAGGTTCTGGGCATCCGAGGGCCTGGGGTTGGGAGGTGAGGGGTATCAACCTGGCTCCGCGGGGCCCAAGACCAACCAGACCGGAAATTCCAGGTCTCGCTGGCACCAGGCTCCCGGATCACAAACGGAGCTAGCAGCTTCGGCCGCGGTGTCCCCACCCCCCACCCGGGGACACCGGGTTCGGGGCCTGGCCCAGGGGCACACGAGGCATGCCTGCCGTGGGTGGTAGCAGAGGCACCCACGCGGGACCAGAGGCGAGGCCTGCCGCCGCCCGGGAGTGGAGACCAGGAAGGGCGGCAGTCGGGCCGTAAAAGGCCAGGCGGGCGGCGGCCGAAGAAGAGCCGGTTTGAAGCAAGTGAGGGTCGGCCTGGAGGGCGGGCGGGGCCGGGGGCTCCTCCCTGCCCGCCGCCGCCGCCTCCCTCCCCTGCGCCCTCCCTGCGCAGCGCCGGCCAGTGCCAAAGAACAACGTGTCACTTCCCGGCGGCCGGGCCGCAAAGGGGGGAGGGGGCGGCGGGCCGGGAGCCGCGGTGCCTGCGCCCGCGGGGCCTCCTCGGGTCGGGCCGAGGTGGCACTTAGCGGCCGGGGAACCCGGCGCCTCCCGGCCTGCGGGAACCGCATATTCCGGCCCCGTGCTCCCCCACCCCCACCCGGCAGCCAGGCCGAGCCAGGCCGGGCACACGTGGGCCGGGGATCGGGCCCTAGCGGGCCGGGGCCCGGGCTTGGACCGCGGGGCCAGGGCGCTGGGGCGGCGGCGCAGGGTAGCCGGTCCCGGCCCGGATGGCGGCGGATGCGGGGGGAGGGGGTGGGGGGGCCGGGTCGGGCCCGGACATGGCGGCTTTACCTTCAGTCTCCTTCAGTCCGCGCGGCCGAGCCCCACGCAGCCGCACAGACGTAGTCCACAACCATTTCCGGCTCCCCGCACGGATCCCGCTCGGCGGCCACCGCTTCTCCGCAGGCGCAGCCGGCGCCCCCACGTGACCGGCGCAGAGGGCGGAGCAGCGCCCGGCGCCGCGGAGCACATGGGATTTGCCCCGCCTTATCATGTGACAGCCACTGCCCGCCTCCTGTCCCCTCCCGAACTTTGGAACTCCCAGGCCGACCCGGCTCCGCGTCTGTGTTCCGGGATTCTTTGGTTCATTCATACTTTGAGCTAGCATTTATTGAGTGCATATTGCGTGCGAGGCGAAGTGCTGGCTGAGGGTTGATAGTACTGACATTAAAGATTCAGTCCCGCCGAAGTAAACCATGGACAAAAACGGAAAAAAATACAAGTTAGGCAGCCTTTGAAAATAATGTAAATTAGATAAAGAACTATTAAACTGGGTGTTACGCTAAAAGAATTGAAATATTCTAAGTAGGGAGTTAGATTTGTCTTTTATAAAGATCAGCCACTCCCAGGGAGGGACTAAAATCAGTCATGGAAAGTTCAAATAGTGATGGGATAAGTAAACCCGAGACCTCTCCTTGGCAGCCAAGAAATTCTGAACCGCCTGAAGGGACATACTAAAGTCACAGCTACTTAGAGTCAGCCTAGATTTTAATCCAAATTTCTCTACTTACTGTCCTAGTGATGTACCTACTACTTACCTACTTAATACTTGTTGTAAAATGGAAATATTTGAAACAATGCAGTCTGGCTCAGTTCTGAGCTTTTACCCACCCTGCTTTCACGCTATTGGATTCTGAAGTTTGATAGTTCTTGTGAAAGTACTTAAAACTGTGCCTAGGTACCTAACTAAAGCTATTTTCTCTCTCTCCTTCCCACCCCCTTCTTTGTATTCAAACACACATAATCTCAGAAAACAGTTTCACCAATGATGACCTTTGTGATTTCACTTAATCTTCACAATATCCTACAAAATGTATTGTATTACTATGCATTGTATTATTATCCCCATTGTATCAGAGTAACTTAAGCTCCAAAGAGAGAAGAGCAAAAATAGACACACAGGAAGAACCATAAGGAGAATGAAAATGTACATGTAACGCATTCTCTGTTACATTCTTGGAGTTCTGTAGTTTATGGTGTATGGCTGCCTCCCTTCTCTGCTCTTCTCATTTCTCTTTCTATGCAAACTAATAAATAAAAATCAATTACTGCGTACATGGCAATTCCTTCTTAGCTCAGAAATCACTCTGAAACCCCAGTCAGGGACTTCCCTGGTGGTCCAGTGGTTAAGACTTCACCTTCCAGTGCAAGGGGTATGGGTTGGATCCTGGTTGGGGAGCTAAGATTCCCTCCTACCTCACAGCCAAAAAAACTACACATACTTTTTGGTAGAAACCAACACAATACTGTAAAGCAATTATCCTTAAATTAAAAACAAATTTAATTTAAAAAGTATTTTAAAAGTCAAAAATAATAGATCCCTTCTCAATATTCGTCATACAAACATCCAAAAAACAGTATTTTCCAAAAATTAAAAAAAAAACCTAAACATAAAACAGAAGCAATATTGTAACAAGTTCAATAAACTTTTAAGTTTTTTTTTTTTAATCTTAAACTCCCATCAGAACAAGGTACTACCTAAAACACTGCTGTGTGCTTAGTCACTCAGCTGTGTCTGACTCTCTGAGACCCCCATGGACTGTATGTAGCCTGCCTAATCACCCTACAGGCATCTTAAATCATGTATGCCTAGATAGAAATGTGACATCTCTCCCTACTTGAATAGTGTCCGCCTTTTGCCCCCAAATGTATCTTGCTCATGTATTCTTTTTCAGTGATAGTGCCCATGCAGGAAATTTGGATTTCATCCTACGTTCCCTTCCTGTCCACGTTACATCTCATCAGACATCAGGTCCTATTGGTGTTTGAATCAGAATCAAGTCCTGCTGATTTTGTGTTTAAAAATTCTTCTGGAAAAAAAAAAAAAATTCTTCTGCCCTCCCCATTTCTACTGCCCTAATTCAGTTTATTTCGCTTGCCTGGTCTCCAGGCCTCCATGATGAGCTTTCTCACTGAGATAGTTAGCTGAGAATGTCCCTTTCCTGCTCTCATTCATTGGTGCCCATTGAGAGACACTGTCAATTTCTTAACAAAGCTCTTCTAAACCTGATCTAAGCCTGTGTCTCTAGCTCCTAGCACAGTTTCCCCTAACTGTATATAACACTTAGCCAAACCAAACTATCCATGGTTTCTGAAAGCAAGTAGTTGTCTGCCTTCTTGCTTTTGCTACTCCTTTGGCTGGATCCTGCCCTCTTTTCCTCTGGATAAACTTATCTTTCTTCAAGAATGTTTTCTCTAAAATCTCCCCTGGGGATTTCCCTGGCAGTCCAGTGGTTAAGACTTTGCCTTCCACTGCAGGGTGCGGGAGTGGGTTCAATCCCTGGTCAGTGAACTAAGATCCCACATCTTGAAGCCAAAAAACCCAAACACAAAAACAGAAACAATATTGTAACTCAGTAAAGACTTAAAAGGACTCACCTGGTGGCCCAGTGGTTAAGAATCTGTCTGCCAATGCAGGGTTCAATCCCTGGTCTGGGAAGATTCCACACACCTCGAGGCAACTAAGCATGTGCACCACATCGACTGAGCCTGTGCTCTAAAGCCACACTGAGAACCACAACTGAGAGCCACAACTATTGAAGCCCGAACACTCCAGAGCCCCACTAGGCAATAAGAGAGGCCACGCACCACAAGGAAGAGTGACCCCCCACTCTCTGCAAAGAGAAAGCCCGGACACAACAAAGAAGACCCAGCTCAACCCCCTAGCAAAACAATGAAAAACTTTAAAAATGGTCCACATCAAAAAGATAAAAATCTTCCCTCACCTATACAGGCACTTAGGTCCTATTTCAGTGATCCCAGAGTATTTGCTCAGGCTCCAGTATAGAATTGATCACAACATAACACAATTGTTTTCTTCTTCTTGTAAGCTTTGTGAGGATAGGATTTGTTTTTCTCTATTTATATACCCACAAACTATAAAGTCTAAAGCAGAATGTCTCCATTTATTTATTGAATGACATTAAATGTGAACGGTTAAGAGCCATTATGAAAATTAATTTCTTAAAGTACAATCACTGACTTGAAAAGAGAATTACCTTTTATGTTTTCATTTTACAAGCACTTTCTAATTTTTTTTCATGTTTGAAATCTTTAAAGTATGCTACAAACTGCAAATATTTTAAATATACAAGGAATTAATTCCCTGGTAGTATAGTGGTTAGGACTCTGTGCTGTCACTGCTGAGGGCCTGGGTTCAATCCCTGGTCAGGGAACTAAGATCCCACAAGCTGGTGGCCAAAAAAATAAAGAAGTACAATTTGATTAATTTTGACAGATATATGATCACCACCACTACCACAATCATGGTACTGACCAATTCCATCCCTCTCAAGTCTTCTTCCTTCAGAATCATCTTTCTCTCCACTCCCATCTATGGATAACCATTGATCTGCTGTCACTAGAATTATATATAAATAAACTGATAGAGTATGTACTCTTTTTGTTGTTTTACTAGGTCATTGTTGATAACCTATTAAGAGGGTCACTATTCACAGGGTAAAACCACAGTTTAAGTGTTGGATAAATGCTAGCAATTATCTGACAGGGCCATATGTTCTCCTCCACTGCATCCATAGGGGTCCAGGCCCCTACCGGCATTGTAGCTATACTCATACCAGCCCCACCAGGAAGAAGCACTACAGATGGAGTGATTACATTCCAGGAAGAAGGCCATTTCTTTCCCATTGCTCTACTAAAGAGGTAGGTCAGGGTCAAGCTTTCTTGCACCATTTTTGCAAGAACAGCCTAGAGGTAAATGTTAACATGATTAAATCCCTCAACTAGCAGCCTCCCCAAAAGGACAAGAGGATTATAGGAAGCAAAGATGTCCATTTTGTTCAGAAGCACAGAAGTTAAGTTAGGAAGAGTGGAACTAACTTTGCTGCCTAGTAAGAGCAGAGATCCTTAGTCCAAAGCCAGGAAATGATAGGCTTGAGGTGGGTGCGCATTAGCAGGTGAGAATAGGGGGGATGCTTGGGATCTACAAGCCCCTTGGAAAGTTATTTTTAAGAGTTTGTGTAAAAATCTGTATACATCTCTCTCCTAAAAGGAGATTCATGACGTTTATAAGCTTTTCGAAGTTCATGCCCCTTAAAGATTAACCACTTTTTAAGATGATTAGGAAAGAGAGGACAAGGGAAAGGGGCTTAGCTTTTTCCATTCACAGCAGCCTTCCTGCTAGCCCAGGCTCAGAGCTGCTACAAACAATACCCTCTCACATCCACTCTCCACCCCAGTGTGGCCTCCAGCCACAATATCCCAGAAAACAGACACAGAGGGACCTCGGGGATAAAGGTCTTTATTCAACAAAGTTATCTCACTCAGTAACAAAAGAATAGGAGGTAATAATTCCCCTAAAGGTCTGGAGCAGTGTCCACCCCTGGCAGCAGGAAGCATGACCTGCTGACATATCAGCTGCAGCTCAGAGGCTCTGGTAGCCACTTAAAGGTCATAGTTGGGGTTCTTTCGAAGGATAACAAAACCTTCTAGAATAGGGGTGACGGGAACAAACTCCTCAGTGGCCAATTCTGCCCGCTCCCCGTGAGCCAACAACACTGGGGTCGTGTGTGTCTGGAACCCTGTGATGGTCTTAGGCTTGCCAGCCTGGCCCACCACATCCACTGCCTGTAGGGTAAGAAAACTGAGATGAAGGACTCTTGATAAAGAGTGCAACAGCAACCCAGCGCCCATCCCAGTTTCAGAGAATTGGCATATATGCATTCTACAAGTTCTGGAGTACAGCCTGGGCCCTTCCCTCTGCTCAGCCCCTCACCTGGCCCACACGGACAGACACCGGCAATGGCCGCAGTTCCTCATCGAATGTGACCAGCATTCGGGGCTGCATGGCAGCCACCAGTCCATATAATACATAATGCGACTTGCCTAGGATGACTGAGAGAAGCACAGAGGACAAATACAGTTAAAGGCATCAGAGCAGGCCTGGCCTATATCTTGGGACCCCACTCCAGCCCTGACTCTTCAACCCCTCAGCTATACAGCTGAACCCACGGCCCTCCGCACATACACCCTACT